AACAGGTGTGAGTTTTGCGCAATTTGATTGCTGACCTTGGCTTGAGGTTGGTCTTGGCTGCACTTGAGCTTGGAGTTGGATTGGCGTGACCTTGGATCGAACTTGATCTTGTCAGGTTTGGACCATGAGGCTGGGCGATCAGGGTCACTCATGTGCATGGAAAGGGATTTCAAGAGTGGAAAGAAAGAAAAGGAAATCTCAGAGTGGCAGGCGAATCAGACCAAGGGTTCACGCGCAGAGTGGCCAAAGGGTTTGAAGAGCATCGATGAGGGTTTGAGGAACTGCCATGACCAGGGTTGAGAAAGCAGCGCAAGAGGGTTGTACTTCTAGATCAGATTTGCTGTGGGATTGCAAGTTCAGCTTTGTGTCTTGCAGTTGCAGTCAACTTCATTGCAAGTTTAACTTCTAGAGAGTTTCTTGTGATTTCATTTGCAGTTGCATGTCGCTTTGTGTACTTGTCAGGTCTTTTGGATAGAGGTTTGCGCGGCATGGTAATCCTAGATAACCTTTTTGCATCCTGAGCTGACAGGTATGTTGGTCTTTGAAAGCTTTGCTTCCGAGGAGCCCAATGATGAGACATTGAAGGCCATGCAGATGGGATCTGACCCTGAGATCTCATGGCTGGTCTCTGAGGGAACCTTTCTTTTGTTTGCTTTCTTGGTTGTCTGCGTGCTTGTTGTTGGTCGAGCTTGATTTTTTGTTGGATCTGGAGTTTTTGCTTGAGTTGGACTCAAGTTCACGTCGAGATTGACGACTTTGAGATCGCCTTTGAGGACTGGTGTATGGATCTTAGTTGTTGTCTGATCCTTAGTTGCCCAGAGAAAACGAAAGAGAGAAGAAGAGAAGAAGAAGAGAGACAGAAGGCGGCGCCATGTGACCCAAGAAGGGGTGTGAAAGATAGTGCGTAGCCTGTTTGTTGTTTGTACAGGGTGTGGATCACCTTGTGCCTGTTTCTTAGGTAGATTTTCGTTTTTGATGACTTGGGTTGGAGCTGACTGTGGTTTGTGGTCCTTTGTTGGTGATTTGCTTTGACCTACCTGGCAGGATCACCTTTTAGAAGCTTTGATGTGGCTAGATGTGGCTAGGAGAAGCCTAGAGAACCTTGTGGTAGCACTGCGTGTACATGGAGACTTTTTGAGATAGTTCTCTTTAGTTTGGTTTGAGATGACTGCGAATAGTCTTGACTCTTTCAAGAAGAGCTGACAAGCTTTGGAGAAGCCTTGAGAACCTTTGAGACAGTCTAAACCGACTGTGACTTTGGCTCAAGGAGCGGGATCAAAAAAGGGAAGCTTGCGCGACCGTGTTTTCACATCCTTCTCGCTGGTTGTGTCCGCCCTTCATTCTTTTTTTGTTTCTGGCCTGGTGTACCTTCTTGTGTCTCCGTCTTGTCTCCCTTCTGTTTCCTTTTGTTTCTCGTCTCCCTTTCTTTTCCCTCAAACAGCTTACTGTTAGGGGTTCTCAATTCTTTCTTAAGATGTGTCCGCCCTTTGTGTCACTGCTGGTGTCCGCTCTTTTCTGCTGGCCATGTAGCATTTCTATTCATTTGTCTCCCAGGTCTGTCGCTGCTGGTGTCCGCCCTTTTCCGCTGGCCATGCAGAAACTCTATTCATCCACCCTTTTCTGTGGCGTGTCTCCCAAGTATGTCACTGGTGTCCGCCCTCCATTTGTCTCCCAGGTCTGTCCATGAAGAGTTTCTATTCATTTGTCTCCCAGGTCTGTCACTGCTTGGTGCTGGTGCTCGGGCTTTTCTGCATATATATATATATATATTTGTCTCCCAGGTCTGTCACTGCTGGTGTCCGCCCTTTTCTGCTGGCGATGCAACATTTCTATTCATTCATTTGTCTGTCTCCGAGATCTGCCACTGCTGGTGTTCTGCTGGCCATGTAGCATTTCTATTCATGCGTCTCCCAGCTCTGTCGCTGCTGGTGTCCGCCTTGTCTCCCATCTGTCTCCCTTGTTTCCGGTCTTGTTTCTTGCCGCCCTCGCGTTTCCCTTCTTGTTGGTCATTGTGTCCGTCTTGTTTGTCACTGTGTCCGCCTTGTCTTCCTTCTTGTCTCCCTCTCCGCCTTGTCTGCCTTCTTGTCTCCCTTTGTCTCCGGTCTCCATTGTTGTTGTTCTTGTGGGTCACTGTGTCGGCCTTGTCTCCCTTCTGTTTCCTTTTGTCTCCCTTCTTGTTTTCGCCCTTCTTGTTGGTCACTGTGTCCGCTTTGTCTCCCTTCTGTTTGCTTTTGTATCTCTTCTTGTTTCCCTTCTTGTTGGTCATTGTGTCCGTCTTGTCTCCCTTCTGTTTCTTGTCTCCCTTCTTGGTGGTCACTGTGTCCGTCTTGTCTCTCTTCTTGTCTCCCTTCTTGTTGGTCATTGTGTCCGCTTTTTCTCCTTCTGTCTCACTTCGTCTCCGGTCTTGTCTCGCTTCTTGCTGGCCTTCTTGTTTCCCTTCTTGTTGGTCATCGTGTCCGTCTTGTCTCCCTTTCCTTTTGTCGCCCTTCTTGTCCCCCTTTGTCTCCGGTCTTGTCTCCCTTCTTGGTGGTCACTGTGTCCGTCTTGTCTCCCTTCTTGTCTCCCTTCTTGTTGGCCATTGTGTCCGTCTTGTCTCCCTTCCCTTCTGTTTCTCTGTCTCCAGTCTTGTCTTCCTTCTTGTTGGGCACTGTGTCCGTCTTGTCTCCCTTCTGTTTCGTCTCCCTTCTTGTCTCCCTTGTCCCCCCTTCTTTTTGGTCATTGTGTCCGCCTTGTCTTCCTTCTTTCTTCATGTGTGCCTCCTCTCTTCCTCTCTCACTTGCAACGCATTTGTCTCCCAGCTCCTTTGCAATGCTCGATTCTGCCTCTTTCAACCCACTCATTCCATGGAGACATGGTGAGGCCCCTCGATGCGGACAATTCCACCTTGCTTGACCTGGCACGCTGCCAGAAGGATTCTGGGCAATCCCAAAGTTCGCAAGGTCCTGTGTTCATGGAACAGTTGAGAACGGCTTTGGAACTGGTGTTGCAGTGTTATGCAATCAGTGGCGCACCCGTGTGGCAAGTTTGTGAAGTGATGTCGTGCGAAATTGTGTGAAAGATCGTGCGTGGCCAGCATGCGCAGGGATCATCCAGTGCTTTTTGATGGGTTGGAACTGACTGCCCTGCAATCTTTCACATTTGTCTTCCAGCTCTGGGCTGCATGTCGCTTGCAATCCTTCACATTTGTCTCCCTGTGTCTGCATTTGTCTCTCATCTCTGGACTGCAGTGGCCGCCTCTGCCTTGCAATCCTTTGTCTCCCAGCTCTGGACGTCGCAAGCTCAAGTTGCAAAGTGTTCCGATTTTGAAAAACACAAACTGTTTGGGGTCTACGGTGGTGCATTCTTTTTTTTACAGTAGAACAAATTTGTGTTCATGGGGCAGATACTGCTGCTTGGACATGTTTTTTTGAGACTCCCTTTGAGCAATTCGTCGGTCTAAAACCATCGCAGTGTGGCACTTAGGACACGTAGGCGTGCAGGGCCTCAAAACAATGTTTTCAACCAACTGCCACGCCAAACAAATCTTCAGACACTTCAACGTGTTTTAAGTTGCAACATAAATTTGAAGCAATGTGCAGTTGTGGAACGGCAAATTCTTGCCTCTTTTGTACAGTTCGTGGCTATTCTCTTCCGGCTTGATCTTTAGTGTGTTGTTTGGTCAGCCGTGTTTTGGCCGCACAAAAAAGTGAATGAAGACGCTCCGGCCAACACAAACGCAATGGGGGGCACTAAAACCTTGGAAAAACAAGAGACCGCCAGTCACCAGGACAATTGTTTCCAGAGGAAAACACATATGCAAACATGCCAGTTTGAAGACTTCCAAGGAGAACGTATGCGATCATGTTTCATTTTGCAAACGGACAACATCTGGAGGGTTGATTGCAATCTGTTTTATGTGGGGGCACGTAAAGCGCTTTAGTTTGCAAGCGTGCTGGGCCAAGCCCCGCGTAGAAATTGCAAAAATGGCCTTGACGATCAAACTTGACCGGAATTCGTGTAGTTAGATTTCAATTAGTAAACAGCGCGCCTCCGTGAAGCGTCATGCCATACATGCGCATGTGTGTTGAGCTAGCTGGAGAGTTCAAGAGTCAAGACGTTCCCATAGAGTTAGGGATTGCGCAAATCAGAGCAGAGAAACACATGACTTGTTTACTGTTAATGACAGATCTAGTGCCACAACCCATGTAAACATGTGATTTCTTAAATGTAGGTGTCCAACGTGTTTAGCGTGTGTGGTGCAAATTGGAGGGCGACTTGCAAGTTTCACCTGATAACTATTTTGACACGAAAAACGTTTGACCAGCGTCGGCGGCCGTTGTAGTCTTGGCAATTCAACGTGATGTGGTCAAAGATGTCGGATTTTTTGGGCATCGCCCAGATCGTGGTGCATCGCCCAGGGAATTGGTTGTTCAAGCAACACAAGATTCAAAAAGAATGATGTGCAGAGTCATTAGTTTTAGTGATCAACATGTGTGAACGATTTGATTTTCACACTTCCAACTTGTAATGTTTGCAATGCATTGCATGCATGTCATGTTGACTGTCCACAATTGTCCACAAGACACACAACATGCAATTTTGCTTTCACAATATGAGAATTGGCAAAAGACCTTCTCATGAGCGAGGCGAAGACTATTGCTGACCATTTTCCACCAGCCAGCTGACAATGATTTTTTTATTCACTTTTCAGAACATGTGTACAAGTGTGGAAGAGAACGTCTTTGCACCAATCCGTAAAATTATAGCATGTGTAATGAAGGTTGTTGTGTGTTCCAACCCAATGGTTTGTCATCAGCCTGATACCAACCTCACGCGTACGGTAGGGATTCTACGCATTGGTGGCAGGTTGGCACTGAGTTGCAACAACATTTGGATGAGACGCTGGCGAGGAGCGGCAGATGAGACTGATGGTGTTCAAGTGATGATTTGAACCAAATGGGAACACTTCAGATCCCATGGGTGGGCCGATGGCCACAGACTTCTTCTCTGTGGGGTGATGAACATCGTTGGGAAAGATGCAAGTGGAATCCATCCATCGTCGATGGCCGCGTTTTCGTCCGTCGATGGGTGTGGGCCCACGCCCTGACAGGATCGACTTGGATGTCTCTTGCGCGGTAGCATCCTCCTGAGGGGACGTGTCTGGTAGGGACGTGCCAGGTGAGACGTGCCAGGGTGGAGCGAGATGTTTGCAGCTGAAAATGATATGAATATCCCATAACCAATCACCCAATGTTATGAATACTCCAATGAAATGAGCAGTGCTGATAGTGGAGATTTTTGCAGATTCATAACTTTGAAATATTCATTGCAGAGATGGGTGATGGGCTCATCGCCATCCGAAGAAGGGAGAAAGGACAAGGGTCTTTCCACAATCGCTGCCGGAATTGATTGAGGCCCCTGCTGCAATTGTAGGCATCCGCAAACCAACCAGAAACTCATTGATTTGTCTAGGTCATGGAAGAGCAAGTGCAGAGTATAGCTCACCATCAATCCATTTTGGGTAGGTGAACAAGTTCCAAGTTCCAACACCTTCTTTCAGCCTCGCTTGGCTTTGAGGTCCGCAGCATCAGAGACTGCAATTTCTCCGTGTCCATCGCAGATCCACAGCTGGTGGGAACCGACCGCGGTTGTTTCGTGCTGTGTGGTGTGTCGTGCAAAATGCGTATGTTGGTTGGTGAGTAAGGTATTTTTGTGATAGCAGGCTGAGTGATTGGATTTGCTTCTTAGTTTTAAATTTAGTAGCAGTCAGTAGTAGGAGGAGTAGGAGGAGTAGTAGTAGTAGTAGTAGCAGCAGCAGCAGCAGCTGCTGTAGCTGTAGCTGTATGCATTAGCAGTAGCTGTACGCAGTTTGACTCGAAAACATTTTTATTGCCTGGCTAGGTTTGAAGAGATCAGCTACTAGTTTGTCAAAGGTATGAGAGCACCTGCAAGAAACACAAGCTACAGCAAATCCGTCACTGTATAGCTGGCAAGCCAGCGTTTTCTTTTGTTCCCTTTGCTTTCTTTGGACATCAAGATGAAAGAGGACCACCTGTCTACGTGTCACATTTGAGAGGCAAATCACTGCGTTGATTGATTGACTCACGCCAGCCTGATTGCCCGCTGATTGCCGTTTCAGAGGCCGGGCGACCCAGGGGGGACCCGTCAGACGGGCTGTCTTGGAGGTTTGAGTGCGGCGCTGCGATGCCCTTGTTACTAGTTACTTACTAGTAGCTTCTTGCTACTAGTAGCGATGCCCGGGTTCCGAGTAGCGATGCCCTTTATTCCGTTCGTAGCGCCCTCTTGCTCCTAGTAGCGATGTCCTGAGCTACTAGTAGCTTCTTTGCATTTTTGAAATAACGATCCTTTCTCTAGGCTTTCGACTCTGAAGTTGGCTTGCATGTTTCAACTTCACCCGTTGCTGGAGTTGCTTTTGATTTAGCAAGCTTTAGTTTTTTGGCCGGAATTGTCTACCACGTGAATTTATTTCTGCTAGGGGAGGGCCCCTTTCGATTCCTGCCTGCCCTCTTTGTACTGCCTGCCCTTGTTGCTGGCCCTGCTCGCTTTCGTCACCAAATGTCTGACCTCAAGGTCTTGCATGGCATTAAATTTCACTGAAAAGTGCTTCTTTGGACAAAGACTGCTAGTTTTTGGACCGTGCTTTTGCGATAGCTGACAGCTGGTGACCTGGCCTGTTCGAAGGCTCGCTCGGTTGGTGAAAGGACGCGACCGTGTCGGAGTAAAAAGTAGTCGTTGGAAGCGAAGGATGTAAGGCACGTGCGCTGTCCGCGGGCTTCCCAAACACAGTTTTGCTTTCGGGCCCCCCCCTGACTGGAATGATCAAGGGAGAACCCGAAACAGTACCTCGGCCATCGTCAGCCATACTCTGCAGACTGTGATGATGATGATGATGATGATGATGATGATGATGATGATGATGATGATGATGATGATGTTCCAACATGACTGGTTTCTGCTTCCAACACAACCCGACTCATGAGCGCGCCGCCAACATTCGCCCTGCAGGGCTTTTGCGAGCTCACGGGCTATGCACGCGAGAGGATCGTGGGGTCTTGCTTGCCTGCTTAGGCTCACACGGCTGAGTCAGATGCATTGAGTGGAGTTCACGTGTATTATATATCGCCATTGCTGTATACAAATCTCTCTCTCTCTCTCTCTCTCAGTTTAGTTTTCTCTCTCTTTTTACATGCTGGTTCTGTGGGCTCAGCAGGATGGTCCGACGCGTCCGCAGAAGGACGGTCTTTTTCGATCCAACCGACTCCCTCGAGTGACGACCGCTCAACCGAATTGGTCACGGTTGGTTGGTCTCGTCTCGAGAGTCTCGAGTCGCGCCAGGCAGAACTGCCGCTTTCTCAACGGTGGATGCGAGATCAGGCGACACCTGCGACCTCGACCCTAGTACCAGAAGGCGTATGACTTGGCAGCTTTTTGATGACATGCCATGTGCCCTTTTTGGTGGCAGATACGCCAAGCATCTTTGCCAAGCTGTCGTATGGTTGAGCCTAGGGCTTTTCAGCAAACACAAATTTTCTGGTGTTCAGACCAAAGATTCTCCTACACTTCCTTTCCGTATCCAGCTGCAGCTTTCCGGGCAGCAGTTAGTTTTTTGGGCAGTTTTTTGGGCCCAGAATGGGCATTCGCCATGAGCTGCTGAAACAAATTGTTTTTCACTAGGAGCAAGGACTCTACTAGTAGCTCCTGGCATTACTACTACTGTAGCAACAAGAAGCTGCTTCATTTTTTTGAGGGTCACCCTATTTCAAGGCACCATTGCAAATGCCCGATCAAACTGACGTGAGCTTACATGTGTCCTGCCGTGCAATCCATCCATTTACAAAAACTGAGCTGAAATGCTTTGCAGCTAAGCCATGATCGTGAAGCTTCGGTGGAGGTTTGGAGACCTCAAGGAGGGTGGTCCAATCAATGGAGGCTGTATTGCTTTTTGTCAAACATCTAGGAACCAAAGCACATATACAGTGAACAGTGCGAACGGCATCTTCATTCGCGGAAGCTCCTCCCCACCCTCAGGCGGGGGAGCTTCCTTGAAGAAGTGTAAGCTATATGTACCAATTATTTCATGAAGTAGGCGCCTACTGAAGTAAGTAGTAGAGGGGGGCAGTGCGGGCTTAAACGTAAAGAAAGCATCAAAACACCGTTCAAAATCCACCAGATTTCCTCTGGAAATCCTTCGCTCCCTTCGCCAGGCCGGCGGACCGAGAAGCCTTGCGGGTGTCGTCCAGGCCGGTGCTGCGTCGACCACCGGATTCCTCTGGGGGGCTCATTGGTCCGGGACTGGGCGATTGCAGGTCTCCTGTTCCCTGAATTTGTTGGAACGAAATCCGTGGTATGAATTGAGTGGACTGCTACGTTACTACAGAGTATAGTGGAAACGATGTTGCTACGAATCAGCATGCTTCTGTTGGCTGAACCAGAGTTGGCCCCACTCCAAACGACATGCAACGATGCAACATGATTCTGTTTGAAGAGATAGAGTCAGGGTCTGAAGGAGATGGTCTTGAGTCTAGACACATTCTCAGTCTCGTTTTCTTGCCATCAGTTTCTGCTGACCTCCCCAGATGGTCAACGATGGCAGCTTCCCAAAATTCAACTGACCCAATTTCTTTGGCGACCAATTGATGAGCACTCAGGACGGGCAAGCATTTCACGGGCGTGCTGAGGAACTCGAAGGTGGGACTGGGGAAGGAGTTGAAGTCGAAAGGTGGGGCAGTGTATTTCATGTCTTTGTGCGGTTTCAAGTCCGAAGAATTCCATTGAACACCTCATTCATGTTTTTCCCCAAACAGGTTTACCTGTGAGGGGTTCTTACTCCTTTTAAAGGGGTGCATGCTCGGGCCGGATGATTTTGAGTTTGTCTCCGGGCTTGTGTTCCTGGCCGCATGATTTCACCCTTGTCTCCCACTTGTCTCCCACTTGTCTCCCAGTAAGCTCTGGATGCTCTGAGTGCTTGGCCGCATGATTTCACCCTTGTCTCCCACTTGTCTCCCACTTGTCTCCCAGTAAGCTCTGGATGCTCTGAGTGCTTGGCCGCATGTTTTCACACTTGTCTCCCATTTGTCTCCCACTTGTCTCCCACTTGTCTCCCCGTAAGCTCTGGATGCTCTGAGTGCTTGGCCGCATGATTTCACACTTGTCTCCCATTTGTCTCCCACTTGTCTCCCAGTAAGCTCTGGATGCTCTGA